CTCTTCCTCTACATCTTCACCAAAATCTCCGTAGGAGTCAACCATATAGAAGTGGGGAGTGGGATGGGAGGCAGTGTGGCTGTGATGTTGAGAAATGAATGAGGGATATGACCTGTGTCCTGCAGGGAACAGAATGGGAGAGAGGAAGCCTAGACCCTGGAGGATAAGATGCCTAAATCCTCATGTTTCTCCTATTGACCTGACCTTCTCTTCTTCTCCCCTCCCCTCCCCTCTCTCCAGGTAGACATGTTTTCTGGGGCTGTGTTCATTCAGCAGGCTCTGGGCTGGAACATCTATGCTTCTGTTATTGCCCTCCTGGGCATCACCATGATCTACACAGTGACAGGTAGGTAAGGCAGGGCCTGCCAATAGCAGTGAGGCCTCAGAGAGACAGGTGGGACCAAGGGAGAGTCACTTCATCTTTTTAATTTAGGATCTGACCCACATGTGGCCAGGTTAGGTGGTTTTTTTCCTCACTGGCTGGCTCTGGTGGCAGGGCAGGCTTAGAGCTCCCTCTCTTTCTGGTGGATTCCATATAAGAAGGCAAATGTTCCAAGCCCATCGGCGTGGGGTGCTATGGGGAATGGCACCAAAGTTCATGGATTATAGTGTTTGAAGGGTTCTCAGATGAGGAAAATGAGGCCAGGAGGGGGAAATAAAGTTATACAAGAGCACATAAGTAGTATTCAGGATTCAAACTCCAGAGCCAACATGACAACTCACTGGGGCAAAAAGGGTTATGATCTGGTAAAAAATGGCATGCCACAGATACAGGACAAAAGGGAGGCCACATGATTTAATGGAAAAAACAAAACACAAAAAAGGCAAAAGTCCTTTGTGCCAGTGCTGGCCTTGTTGCATGGCCTTGGGCAAAGCACCTCCCTCAGCCTCAGACTCTCAAATAGGAAAATACTTCAAAGGGTATCTAGTCAAAGGGCTCTTAATCTGGGGTCATTGCTTTTTTTTATAATTGGTTTTCTTTGCAATCCTGTTATTTTATGCATTTAAAAACACTATTATGTGAAAGGATCCAGAGGTTTGACCACACTGCCAAAGGGATCCATGATGAAGAAAACGGTTAAGAACTCTAACTGAATCCAGCCTCTACCTGAATGAGAATTATTTCCTCAGCAAATATCCTGAAGTAGTCATCCACCCTTACTTATGTCAAAGACTTTCAGCTGCAGGAAACTCTCTTGAGACAGCCCCTTCCCCTTTTGGGACAGCTTTGATCATTAGGTTCTTCCTTAATTTAGCAAAAATCTTCTCTACACCTTCTCTTCATTGCTCCTAGTACTGAACTCTAGGAGTCAAATAAAATAACTCTTCATATGCTGGCCATCCAAATATTCAGACTTAATCATGTTTCTCCAGCTTACTTTCTATCGACTAAACCAGGGATGAGGAACTAAACATTCCCAGTTCTGCCAAACAAGGGGAAGATTTTTAGTTCCCTCACCATTCTTATTCACATTTACCTGGTCATGCTCTAGCTGTCAAAGTCCTTTTCAAAATATAGCACCCCAAACTGGGGCAACACCCATTTTCTCATCTGTCAAGGAGAAATAATAGCCCCTGCCCTACTACCTAACTCACAGGGTGGAACTGAGGATCAAATGAAGTTATAGATGAACAAGTGCCTTGGAAATTATAAAGCCATGATTATTTTTGTGATTTTTAGGGGGAGGGAAATGGAAGGCCTATCTTCTTACCCCACTCTCCTTCCAGGGGGCCTAGCTGCACTGATGTACACAGATACCGTCCAGACTTTCGTCATTCTTGGGGGAGCATTCATCCTTATGGGCTACGGTATGGCAAAGCAGAACCCTGAATTCGGGGAGAGGTACTAAAGGCTAGATGACAGGATACCTCAATCTCTCAGAAAGGGATGGAACTTTTAAGGGGAAAAGGAAGCTTGGGCCCTCACTCTAGAAAGAATCTAGATCCCTGGGAAGAGGGAAATCTGTGTGCCAGGACTTGTGACTGTCCTCTGTCCCTACGCCAGCCTTCAATGAGGTGGGCGGGTATACAGGCCTCTTTAACAAGTACTTGGAAGCCAAGGCCACACAAACCTTTTCTGAGGACCCCATGGTGGGCAACATCTCTCCCTCCTGCTACCAGCCCCGTGCTGACTCCTTTCACCTTCTTCGGGACCCAGTGACTAGCGATCTGCCTTGGCCAGCCCTGATAGTGGGGCTCACCATTGTCTCTGGCTGGTACTGGTGCAGTGACCAGGTATGGAGATGAAGGTATGGAGGGGTGTACGGGAATGCTGGGGTCTGAGGACAACTGGATCTGAGCCCAGGGATCTCCTTTATGTTTCAGGTTATTGTACAGAGATGCCTGGCAGGAAAGAACTTGACCCACATTAAGGCTGGCTGTATCTTGTGTGGCTACCTGAAGCTGCTGCCCATGTTCCTAATGGTCATGCCAGGAATGATTAGCCGAATTCTCTTCCCAGGTAACAGCCCCTCAGCTCCACTCTGACCTTAGGATCCAGGTGCCCTGACCCTTGGACTCTGCTTCCTATCCCAAACCCAGGATACAGATGCTCAACTTGCATGTCTGCCAGGCCCTGGCTTTCTCCAGCTTTGTATGGTCCTCTCCTAGATAAGGTGGCATGTGTGGCTCCAGAAGTGTGCAAGCGGTCTGTGGTACAGAGGTTGGCTGTTCCAACATCGCCTACCCCCTGCTGGTGGTGAAACTCATGCCCAACGGTGAGCTGGGGAGTGGGAAATGGAGGAGACATCGGTCAGTCACAGAATAAGAGAGCTACAGGGGTCCTTGGAGACCAGGCCCAACCCCCTTTTACAGAAGAGGCAACTGAAGCCCAGAAAGGGAAAGACGTTTACCTAGAGGTGCACAATAAGTCAGTGCTAAGGCCAGAACTGCAACCAAGGCCTGCTCTCAGTGAGGGCTCCTTCCACCTGATCCCACCCAGCCCTATCATCTCCTTTCTACCTAGGTCTTCGTGGACTAATGCTGGCTGTCATGCTGGCTGCTCTCATGAGCTCCCTGGCCTCCATCTTCAACAGCAGCAGCACACTCTTCACCATGGATATCTACACCAGGATCCGACCTCGAGCTGGAGACAAAGAGTTGCTGCTGGTGGGCCGGTGAGTATCGGCCCTTAGCCCCTCCTGGAGACAAGGATTCTGGGGTACACTTACCCTGGAAACCAATGCTTGAGTCTCAGCTGGGGGTGGACAAACTGGTCCACAGTCCTGAACTTTCTGTTCTCCTTCCTAGGCTCTGGGTGCTGATTATTGTTGCCATCTCAATTGCCTGGCTCCCAGTGGTCCAAGCCGCACAAGGTGGTCAGCTCTTCGACTACATGCAAGCTGTCTCCAGCTACCTGGCCCCCCCAGTTTCAGCAGTCTTCGTTCTTGCCCTCTTTGTGCCCAGGGTCAACGAACCAGTAAGCCCCAAATCTAGACTGAGAGGGAACTTAGGGGGCAGGCCATCTAGGCCTAAGAAAGGGAACTTGGGAGTAGGGTAACTGTGGGGAGCGTTCCTGGATTTGGGGGTCACATTTAAGAGCGATCACCCCTCTTTTCACCAGGGTGCCTTTTGGGGGTTAATTGGAGGCCTCCTGATGGGGTTGGCTCGCCTCATCCCAGAGTTCTCCTTTGGCACCGGCAGCTGTATCCGGCCCTCCTCCTGCCCCGGCCTCTTCTGTGGTGTCCACTACCTCTACTTTGCCATTGTGCTTTTCATCTGTTCCTGTATCTTAATCCTCACCATATCCTTCTGCACTACACCTATCCCCCAGAAACATGTAAGTAGACTGGTTTCTGGATGGTTCCCTTCTTCCTAGGGCTGCACCCCCTCTTCCCTCATGGACCAAATGCCTTACAGGAAGGAACCGAGTCTAGCATCAATATTCCCCATGGTGACCTGAACTTGGTGAGTGCCAACTGAATGGGTAAATCCAATGAACGAATGAATTTACAGGTCCTTTCTTCTCTTAGCTCCACCGCCTTGTGTTCAGCCTCCGTCACAGTAAAGAAGAACGGGAGGACCTGGATGTGGATGAGCAGGACACAGGGCCCCCTGAATTGCCGGTGCAGAATGGCCAGCTGGAACATGCAGTAGAGATGGATGGTAGGTCACTGGGGACGGGGACCGGAACCCGCCCTGTCTACAAGTATGGGGGAGAAGGACTGGCTTTTCTTTCATTGGAAGGGTGGGAGGCACCTCCATCTGCTGAGCACTGAGTCTTCTTTTCCTTTAGAATCCCCACCTGCAGCCCCAGGCCTATTCCATCGCTGCCTGCTCTGGTTCTGTGGGATGACTGGAAGTGACCCAAGCAGCTCCTCACCTCCCACAGCTGGGGAAACAAGGGCCCAGCAACTGCAAGACCCTATTGAGGACCCACGCTGGGCTCGACTTGTCAACCTCAATGCACTGTTCATGATGGCAGTGGCAGTCTTCCTCTGGGGCTTTTATGCCTGAGACCTCTGGTGGCAGAACACTGGCAATCCAGTGCTACCCTGGGGCTCTCTGGTGTTGGGGATTGGGGGTGGGGGATGAGGAGCAGGGACGCCAGGCGACTTCCGCATTGACACAGCTGGAGTCTAGGCCTGGCCATCTGTGAGGACCTCTGCACCCACAGATCCAGAGGTGTAAAAAGGAACCCTAACAGAAGACTCGGACTCATTTTTATCAGTATCAGCTTGATCACTCATCAACTACATACCACCACTGTACTTAATGAATACATACATCCTTTATGTTATTGAGTCAGTTTAAAATGTGGCTGGCTTTGGGATTGATTAAAAATAAAACTTATCACAGATCTGGAAAGTCCAACGTCATTTTTAAAATGATAGCATAGAAAAGGCTCTCCCACTCAAAGAAAATGGAGGTGTTGTTAAGGGAGAGGCTTCACCCACTGAGAGCAGCTCATTTTCTCTGGAATCCTTATTCCTTTGATCCAATTCCAGAGCGTTCCTGGTCCCCATCTGCCCTTGTCTAGGTTCAGGTGATGACAGCAGCCCTCACAAAGTCTTCTTCTCGCCCACGGACCATGCAGCTCGCCATTCGTCCACCTCCAACAGATGGTGCTCTGTCTCCCAGCCTACAGCTTGCAGCTCTGGTGGAGAAGAAGCCCTCATAATCCAATGAAGGGCCTTTAATCTGATCTGTACCCTCTCTCGAACCCTTCCCCATTTTAAAGCCAAGCAAGCAAATTCAGAAAAAAAGAAGTGATCTGACTTGGTCATATAAGTAAATGGAATAGCTCAGATTAGAATACAGCATTCTCAAATCCCCAGTTCTCAAATCCCAGCAGGATGGCTGAAGGAAGGAGTATGGATTTTATTACCTTTCAAGAACTTGGGGTAGAGCCTATCAAGGATCTGGTAAGTCTCTTTGACAATGGTCCAACTGTCTCCTTCAGGGGCTGTGGGACCAAAACAATAACCAGCATCAGCACTAAGAACCAGCCTTCCTCTCTTTCTGCTGTCCACTTCACTGCCCCACTCTCATAGAAAACCCTCAGCTCTCACCTGCCCTGATCTGGCCCTCAGGGTCTCCAGCTCTTCTGTAAGAGGTACATCCTCCAATAGTGCTGCCAGCAAAAGTCCATGTGTTGCTGCCCTCAGAATGACTCCAGCACTTACTTCCTGGCCCAAAGTCACCTGTATCTGGCCTAGAGAGATTAATTTAACAAGTTAATACCAGCCTGGCACACTGGTCTCATCTCTAGGACACACCTTATGCTTTCCCCTACTCTACTTCTTTGCTCCTGGAATGCCTTCTCTTCACTATTCATCCCTCAAGGCTTTAATTAAGTCTGTGTCCTACATGAAGCCTTCCCTGACTGCCTTAGCTCACATCACTCTCTCTTCTTTGAACTCCAAGAACATTTATTGCCTATCCCACTATCTGGCCTTTAGCTTACATGTCCTGGTGTCATTAGGTTTCTTCTTCTGTGTACATATCCTATCTACCCAAACACATCTGTAAGCTCCTCGAGGACAGGGAAATGTTTTACACCAGTGCACCTAGCATACAACCTCCTTATACAGGTGCTTAATAAATGTTTTTTGACTGCATGTCTAATAACAACTGAAAAAGATCCTTGGAAGAACAATTACAGAAATCTGTGGGGGAGAGAAAGATAAGTGAGTGACTGCTTTGAGGCTAGAGCAGAAGAATTAGGCTTCTTCCATCTGGAAAGATGAAGACTGAGAGAGGATGTGACAAAAGCCAATTAACTCATAAAAGAAAAGGCAGATTTCTTTCCCAAATCCTTGATTATAATGGAGAAAAGTTTACTGGGAGATCTGAAGTCTATAAAAAGGAACATATAATTTATAGAAGAGAGTAAATTCACAGTATTTGTAACCCCAAGAGGTGATGAAAGCCAAGAAGTGTATATGTGTGAGTATGTATATATGTATATGTAGGTATAAGCTACAGAGGAATTTTATAGTTCCATAGACTCTCATACCTGGAAAGGACCTTCAGAGTCAAAAAGTTCATGTATCATGAGCTCACAATGGTTGCTGAAACATTCATGTCAAACTTGTGGTCAACTAAAACTTTCAGATCTTTTTCACACAAACTGCTGTCAAGTAAGGTCCCCCTAACTTTGTCTTCATGCAGTGTAGGCCTTTACATCTATTCTCATTTCCTTTCTTCTGTTTCAGTTAGTCCTATGGCTCTGGGTCACAGAACACTAACAGTCTTTGACATAGCATCACTCAGAGGGCAACAGAGACACAGTATGAGAAGGAGTGAGGCTATCACATATAGCAAATAAGGAACTCTGGAGAAGAATGGGAACAAAGTATGTCATCAGGGGAATTTATGATTGGAAAAAAAGAGATAGGCTGATCACTTAATGAACCTCCTGTTTACTCTACTGGCATCCTCCTGAAGTAGGGAGAAAGTAAAGAAGGTTCTTAGCACCTTGGTTAGGACCCAACGTAACAATCTTATATGGCAGAACACGGCCAAGAACAGCTCAGGACAGACTGGCACAGAGAGGCTACTATTTACATGCTGGAGGGAACATCCACATTGATGTCACAAAGTAATTTGAGAATTGTTTTAGCCCATTTTTCAACAAAAACTGAAATCTTTTGAATTCTGGTTGTCATCCAATAAAGCTATCTTCCTTAGCTTTGCAAAATCACCTATTGTGATGGTTATCGTTATTTAGTCATTTTCAGTTGTGTCTGACTCTTCACAACCCCATTTGGGCTTTTCTTGGCAAAGATAGTGATTTGTCATTTCCTTCTCCAGCTCATTTTACAGATGAGGAAACTGAGGCAGACAGGGTGTTAAGTGACTTGCCCAGGGTCCCACAGCTAGTAAGTGTCTGAGGCCAGATTCCAGCTCAGGAAGAGAGTCCTATTGACTCTAGGCCTGGCGCTCGATCCACTGCACCGCCTCGCTTCCTTTGTAGTATCTGCCCTGCCATATACTTCATCCAAGCTGAGGATAAACATGCTGATTAGATTAGAAAGCCCTACAGCACTAGACCATCCGGGCTGACACCGATCTTAATATTCTGGGGTCAACTGTTCAGCCAGATCTACCTACCTATATCACGTAGTCAAGATTCCTTTTGTCTGACTAAGCTCTTACTAAAGGGAGTTAGGAGAATTTTCATGTTCTTATAAAAACTGTCCAAAAGGAAAAGGAAGTGAAAGGAGTTATTCATAAAGCTTCATTCCATTGCCTTTCCTCTTCCTCCCCTAGCCTATCTTGCTTTCTACCCCTCTCACCTTGGCAACGGTCCCAGCGAAGGAGGTAGGGTTGTCGGTGCCCCTCACTCACCTGCTGCAGTTCAGAGGCACTAAGGAAAGAAAGAAACAAAATGTGGGGGTACATGGGAGAGGAGAAGGTAGCAGTAGTAGAGTGGCTGTGGGTAAGAGATATGGCTGGGCAGGAAACCCAAAGGAGAGGGATTGAGGCAAGAGCCATTAGAGGTAAAGAAGTGCAAGGTCTTTGTATAGGGTTAACAGGTGCCTAGGGAATGCATGGGAGCAGAAGGCAAGAAGAGAGAGAGAGGAGGATGTCACTCACCTTGAGACCAGGCTGTGCAGGGGTACACCCAGGGACAGAGACAGGGTAGGGTGGCAACCTGTGGAGAGCCAGGGTCAGTATGTTCAGCAGGAACTAGGTTTAGGAACTAGGAGTGGGGAACCTGTGGCTCTCTAGGTCCTCAAATGTGGCCCTTTGATTGCACCCAAACTTTGAAAAATGGGATTTGTTTTGAGAAGTTTGGATTCAGTCAAAGGGCCGCACTTGAGGACCCAGAAGGCCACAGGTTCCCCATCCCTGGTTTAGGGTATGTGGGAGATTGAAGAAGAGGGGCAGTGTCACCTGTCCACAGTGGTTCCATACGATTGGCTAAGGGGGGTGTTAAGACCTTTCCCCGCTGAATGAAGTGCTTTAGGACAAGGTAAAGTCGAGCTTCATTGAACGTTTCCATGATGACAGCCCGAACTGCTCGGAAGTTGGCATAGAGATGGAGGATGGTGAAAAGGAAGAAGGCAGCAAGACTGAGACTAGGGAAAAGAGAATGAGATCAGAGGTAGAAGCCAAGATAGATGAAACAAGGAATTCACAACCCCTCCTTCATGACTTCCCCTAAAATCTCACCTTGGCCGTTCAGACAGCAGAGGAAGAAGTAAAAGACTGACCAGGAGCCCTGCCAAGTTCACTAGAGTCTCCTGCATTGGGACACAAGTTAGCAGAAAGGAAAAAAGTCAGGCCAGCAGTTCTGACATCATAGAGCCACTGCCATACTAATCTTTCTAAAGCAGAGCTTTTACCATGTCATTCCCCAATGGTTCTCCATTTCTTACAAAATATAGTCCAAATTTCTTAACCTGCGATTCAAGGATCTTTAAAAATCTGGCCATAAGTTGCCTTCCCGGGTCTATCACCCATTTAAAGGTGTCTCTTGAAGATTCCTTCCAGTGCTAAATTTATGAGACTACGCTTTAATCAATTCCTCAATTAGATCAATTCCAAAATAAGAAGGAAGATGATAAATTTTTCATAAAATCATAAATTAAGACAACTTGAACCGCCAAAAAAGTGCAACAAAGAAGTGTTTATAGGAGTTTAATTGTTTGGGTGTCAAATGAAGCTTGCCTGTCCTCAGGCTGCTCCGGAGAGTACCGTCTGGAACACCTTCACACCTGGATGGATCCTCAGCTTATCCTCAAATTCCACTAACACACTAACCTTTCACTACCACTAGGGAAAAGGGACCCTCAGCTCCAAATTTCCAGGTTTAGTCCTGACATGTTCTCACCTTCTCCTCTACCCTCCAGCTATTCTCACATGAGAAAAGGTTGGGGAGGACAAGCTGTTAATCTGCTAGGTGGTTCCTCTCTGGCAGTGAAAGAAACCACCACATTTGGCTATGTCTAGACTAGCTTATCAGACCTACAAACAGACACTGTGGTATCTACTTAAATTCTGCTCCTCCTAAAAGGAGGGTTAGATTATCTTCCCACAGATCCCCAACTCAGCCCTTGCTATTCCAGCTCAATTCCAGTCCTACCCTTCGACTTGACCCCACAACTCTTCTCATGCCTCTCACCTGGCTTCCATCTTTGGCTGACACATCAGCCATGTTGTCTCTCCTGGCCTGGTGCATGGTCAGGGCTGCCCGTGTGGCTCCTCCTGCTACTCCCACAATGCACTAAGAGTGAAATATGACAGAAAAAAGAAGAGCTCAGTACCCAATACAACAATGTCACATTGTCAAGACTAATTATTGCATTTAGATCAAATGCTGTTCAGTTGTTTTTCAGTCGTGTCTGACTCTTCGTGACCCCATTTGGGGTTTTCTTGGCAAAGATACTGGAGTGGTTTGCCATTTCCTTCTCTAGCTCATTTTACAGATGAGGAAATACAAGCAAACAGGATGAAGTGACTTGCCCAGGGTCACAAAGCTCATAAGTGTGTGAGGCCAGGTTTGAACTCAGGAAAGAGTCTTCCTGACTCTAGGCCTGGCACTCTATCTACTATACCACCAAGCTGCCCCTTAGATCAAATAGCCCTTATTTTCAACAAACTGGAGGAAATCTTGAATCTTTCCCTAAATTAGTGAGAGAAAATAGGTCTAAGATCCTGAAAGAACCCAGCATTGTACCTGCACTTTAGTACAAAAACCAAACCTATTGCTGTGATTCCAGAGGGAAAAAGAACTTAAGCTCTCTGAAGGCCTGGAATATTTTATTTTTTATTTATATCCCCAGCATTTAACACAGTATCTTACAGGATTACCGACTGAGAGAGACAGGACCTTAGAAATCACCAAGTCCAACTCTTTCATTTTATAGATGAGCAGATTCAAATTCAGAAGTTAAGTGACTTGTTCTGGATCAAACACCTATTAAATGGGCTTGAACCTACATCTTCTTAACTGTAAGTCCAACATTCTCCACTACGCCAACACTGCCCCAGACAAATAAATGTTTATTAAATATACACTGTCCCCAGTGACCAGTGCCCTCCTATTGAATTTCAGAGTCCCAACTTCAGGAATCTGAGGCATTTTATCTTCAATGAAGGAATGAAATAGTCATCTTCCTCCTCCATCAGATACAGTGGGTCCTTTTCCCCTCTGGATCTGGCAGCTCTTGACCTAATCTCTCCCTTCTCAGAACCTCCAGGGTCAAGGACTCCTTTCCTCAACGGAGAAGCCCTAAGGATGTGGAATAAGCCCCACAGATCTTTAACCTATTTTCCCCTCCTCCACCCCACAAAATTAACACCAGCTATGCTTTCTTGCCTATCCTCTGTCTATATCATGTTTTCCAGATTTCATGATCCCTAAAATGCTCTTCTCCACCTTCTTTACCTTGCTAAATACCACCCTCTATCTTTCAAAGTCCAGTTCAAATCTCACCTCCTACTTATGAAGTCTTCCCTGACCACTCCAGCTCTCTTAGGTCACATATCATTGAGGGAATCCTTGAATTTTGGAGTCTAATCAGAGATTACCTAGTTCAACCACCTCATTTTAATTAATGAAAGTGAAGCGATATGATAGCTAGTCGGTGGCAGAAATGGGACTAGAACCCAAGTTTTCTGACTCCCAGTCCATGACTATTCAAATACACCATGCTGCCTCAGTGCTGAACTCTGATCATCCTTATGAACCATGTTTCTCTTATCTTAGTACTTCAAGATTCAGAGGTACAGGCACTCCCTCCACTGAGGCAGACCATAACTCTACCACACATTGGCCCGTGGTTTCATAAACTAAGCCCAAAGTCACTACTTGTTGGGGAGACTTTCTGCATATACCAATGCTAGTTCTTGGGTAACACCTAATCATCAGGCCTCTGTATGAAGCCAGTGTGGCAGACCCTGCCAAAACTGTCTCCTTTCCTAGCACCGACATGGAAAATTCTGCATCATCTTGATACCCAATCAGTAGCATAACATCAGGTTATACTACTCATATGAAACTGACTGCACACTGTCATTTTTATTTAAACTTTCAAGCCCCTGTGTTTCATTGTTATTGCTGGACTCCTCCAGAGCATGTCTTATGCATCTCTTAATCTTAACAATACGTTAAGAGTGATTGTGAAAAGATTGGCCCCCCCCATTTCTTCTCAAGATGAGTACCTTGGCCAAGCTGCTGACACAAACAATGAGAGTAAAGCAGGATGGGAATGCTGGGGCCACAATCTCTAGGAACATGGCTGCATCATTGAGAACATCAGCAAAGAGCCTGGGGTCAGAGGTTAGAGGTTAGGGGTCCTGAATTTTCATAATAAAAGACTCATCCTGTGCCCTCCAAGCCCCACCAGCTCTGTGTTTCCCCACTGCATTCTCATTACCTCCATTTTTTGGCTTCACAATCCAGTCTGCTCCTGTCGAGAAAGATTAGCATGCATTGGAACCAAGAAGAAAGTATTTACTGTGGCTAGTGTGGCAGCCAGCTTCACATATAGGCAGAGCACATAGTGTGATTTGAAGGGCCCTAGGAAAACCCTTTCTTCCCAAAAATCTCTCTCATCCGACTTATCGTTGATGCCTAAACCCCCAACATTAGAGATCTACTCTGATTTAAGCATTGCCTTCTCTAGGCCCTTTCTTTTGAAATCCAAACAGCACTGGGAGAAGGAACACATCTGGTCCCTAACACCTTAATGCATTTGATATTATCATATCTTTTCTCCCCTGACAAGAGAGACGAAACAACACAAGGCAACACAGGGTAGTGCAGAGAGCCACAGACTGGTCATTTAGTCCCAGCTCTATCATTAACTATCTGTGGCTTTTGGGTAGTGCCCCTCTGAGCTCAGTTTCCTCTTCTAAGGTTCTCTATCTCCAGGTTCTAACACTCTTAAGAAACTGAGTGGGTTCAGTGGTTTAGAGAAAGGGAAAAGAAAAGGGAAGTAGAAAAAGAGATATTGATATTGCAATTGATATCAAGAAATATTGATTCATTACCTGAAAAGAGGTTAGGGGAAATGGGAAGCTACCAAAATCAAACTTCACAATTTGGGTGAGGGCCAGCCCTGCCACTTTACTAATGGCTAAAAGAACAGTGATTACCCCCATGAAAGCTCTTGATTTAATCAGACCTGATCTGGAAGAAAGATGAGCTCACTTACCCCATCAACCAGGCAAAACCAATTCGCCCCAGCATGCCAGTTCCATCTACAGTAGAAGAGAAGGCAAGTGAGGCCAAAGGATCTCTGAAGTTAATGTTTGTTTATTCATTCATTCATTCATTCAGCAGGTAAGTTTCTCATCTACTAGGTGTAAATTGCTGGGGAGGGTGATGCAGAGGAGGAAGGGAGAAGGTACAAAACTAATTAAAACAATCACTGCTCTCATGAAACAGTCTAACAAGTGAAATAAGCAACTTATAAATAACTATTATAAAAGTTAAAAAGTGATAAATGCCTCAAGAGTAGTACAAACAATGCTATAGGAATATGGAAAAATGACAGATGACTTCTGACTAGTGGTTATCGAAGGATTTTTGACAGGTGGAAACAGTAGTAGAAGCTAAGCAAACTCCTTAAGGGCTCTAATTTATCTTTGCTCCTCCTTTAGCAATGAATACAATGCCTTGGACATTGTAGGTAATTAATACATATTGAATTCCAGGTGGAGTAAAATGTATAAGGAAGAAGTGGGAACGAAGGCTGGAAGGTTGGTGCAAAGAACAGGATTAGTCAGAATGGCAAAATCAGATTGATGGGGGTGTAGAAATCTTGAGCCACAGATGGGTACATCATCCTAAATCAAGGGTTCTAAACCTGGGGTCTGTGAATTTATGGATTTAAAAACATTACTTTGAAAAGAGGTCCATAGTTTCACCAGACTTACCAAGGGGTCCCCAACACACAAATAGGTTAAGAACTCATGCCTTGGGGCAGTGAAGTGATACTGAAGGTTTTTGAATAAGACTGCCTTGCAGGATAGGGTCAGAATGGGGCATTATAAAGACTAGCTTGATAGACCAGTACAGAATGGATTGGAGGGAGAAAGCTTACAGCAGAATGAATTCTTTTCTTTAGTGACATGAATCCAGAATGCCAGGTGGGAAAAGGGACTCGAGGAAGAGGTAAGCATGGGGGCAGTTAGGTGGTGCAGTAGTTAGAACACTGGCCCTAGAGTCAGGAGGACCTGAGTTCAAATCTGGCCTCAGATACTTGACATTTACTGTGACCTTAGGCAAGTCACTTAACCCCATTGCCTAGCAAAAACAAAAACAAACAAAAGAGGGAAGCATGGTAGGCATTTGGGGTGGGAAGGAGAGAAAAGGAAGCACTGACTTGGGAACACAATGGCTGAAAAGATATAGGCTATTTGGGGCTGGCATAGAGATCATAGCTCACCTTTTAAGAGCCAAGTGATGGTGGCAGCTGAGACAGAAGCAGTCGCATCCCCCACCCCTACCCCTTGAAGGACAGCTTGGGTCGCCAAGGAGCCTGTGAGGCTGGAGGCAAAAGCCTGAATGGTGAAAAGATATCTGGTAAAAGAAATGTCATAGTTCTCCCAGCTTGAAATTTGTCATAATATGGTTTAAATGGACCTTAGAGATCATTTAGTCAAACCCCCTCCCTTTACAGAGGCCCAGATAGGGACCAGGAGGAACCCGGGCAAACCTAAAACTAGAACACGTCTTCTGACTTACAGCCCAGGACTTGCTCCACTACACCAAGCTGCCAGTCCTGTCATAACGCCCCAAAGTAAAGAATGGAAAGAACACTGGGAAAAAGAAAAAGAGACCTGGATTCAAGTGGGCCAGTCTGGGCCTCGAGTTCCTCCTCTGTAAAAAGCCAAGCCTGACCTACATGACCTCCGGGGTCCTCGGACGGTGGAGCCTCCCAGCCGCCCTCCCTCCCCCTTGGGGGGCTGGACAATAACCTGCACTGTGTCCCACAGCTGGTAAGGCAGGTAATCAGGGCTGACGCTGTCAGGGAAGCCATGAGGCAGGAACACGGCCTGGGGGGGGGGGGAGAAGGGAGGGCAGTTCAAGGGTGCCCCGACTGCCGGGACCGCACTTCCCTCCCACAGTGGACCCCTAGGATGATCTGTATGCCTGGATTTGGAAGACCTCGTGCCCTTCCTCATCCCAAGTGTGCTTCCTCCCTTAAGGGAGTTGGGGGGTACCTCTACCTCTTTCCTGGCAGGGACTGTCTCTATCCCACCCACCACTATCTATATCTACCTGCAGTTATGTCTACATCTACCTCCCCCTATCCCTGCCCCGCCCCTCAGGGGAGGAGGGGTCTCTCTGCACTCTAGAGGTCTACTTCATCATATACTTTCATCAGGTAGGGGTTTCTCTACACCCCCTCCACAAGCACCTCCTCCCTGGAGGGGGGTTCCCACACACACTCCCTCCCGGAGCGGTCTCTCTGCACTCCCTCCTGGGGGGGAGTCTCTTGACACTCCCCCCCAGGGGCCTTTTTCTACTTCCTCCTGGGGGGAGGTGTCTCTTGACACTCTCTTCTTCTTGGGGGTCTCCCCACCATCCGTCACCGTGAGAGCGGCTCGCAGGCCTTGCCCGGGCCCGCCCCCGGCCTCCCAGCTCAGGCTCCCATCGGGGGCTACGGTGCAGCTGCGGGGGCTCCCGGAGCCGAAGCGCTCCCAGCACTGCAGGGCCACGGGCCCCTTGCTGCCCGCCATCTCCGTCCCCAGGCGCCTCCGTATAAGCTGCCGCGTGGAGCAGCGGCAAAACAGAACAGGTTCCGGAGCAGCGGTCGGTACCGATGACCTCTAACCCCGCACATCCGCCCGGCCGGCCGGCGTGGTTCCGGCATGGACCCTCTGTCTGAGACCGAGGGTTGCCTTGAATAGAAGCTACGGCGACGCCGGAAGGACATAACGTTCATAAAGGCGAAGCACGAGATCCCCTCCTACAACACTGCCCCCCTTCCCCCGCTGGCTCCTGGGGACCAGGCGTAGGGGCGCAGTGAGTAGAGCACTTCTAATAAGGAAAACTGGTGTTCTAATCAGACCTCGGACGCTTACTAAGCTCTGTGACCCTCAACCTCTAATAAGGATGGGAGCAGTTAGATGGCGCAGTGAGTAGAGCCCTTCTAATAAGGAAAACTGGTGTTCTAATCAGACCTCGGACGCTTACTAAGCTCTGTGACCCTCAACCTCTAGGTGGGCCGCAGTTTCCTCCCTTCTGTAAAATGCGAATGATTGCAGCACTTACTCCCCAGGCTCTTTGGAGGATTCACAGCTGCATGCAAAGCGCTTAGCAAACCTTAAAACGTTTATATCAGATAGAGCTGTGGTTTAATGCCTGAGAGGCCACTCACTTGCTTGCCTAGACTCAGAGTCACAAGGACCCATGTTCAAATTCTGCTTCTCACAAACACTTAGCTGTATCACTATGGGCAAATCATTTAGCCTCCTCCAGCTTCAATTTCCCTGTCTCTAAAATGGAGATTAAAATAGGACTCAATTCATATTGTTGTTGTGAAGCTCAAACGAGATCGCGTTTGTGAGCTATTTGTGCAGACTTTAAAGCACTTAATAAAGGATGCTGTAGCCTCTTGTCCAGACCTGGGTTTCTCAGTTCCAGGGATATGAGAATGGGCCAGAGCTTTAGTGTCTTTTGACCTCCATTCTCATACCCTCAACTTTCATTTAAAGGAGGCCTTGTGGTATAGAGGAGAGTGCCTTGCTGAATTCAGAAAATTCCTTCACTTAAGTTTTTCAGTGTTGTTTCCGTTCCCCTGAGTTTCCCACCGCTCTCCAGCCTCAGTACCTTACCACTTTATTTTTCTCTTAGACCTAGTTGAAAAAAAATATTGGTAGCTTTTCTTCCCATTACTTAAATTTCCCCTCTCCCTCCTGCTCCCCCCCCACCCCATGTAGCAAAGAATATTTTTAAAGACAAAAATGAGGAAGAAAAAGCAATCAGCAAAACTGATTAATACATTGGAAAAAGTCTGAATATATATATATATGTATATATACATATGTATATGTATGTGTATGTATATATGTGTGTGTGTGTGTGTTGTGTGTGTGTGTATGTATGTATATACAATGTTCCACAGCTGTGTCCCTCCCACTTCTGCAACAGAGTGGGAGGTGAGCTCTCACATTTCTTCTTTAAGGTCATGCTTGTTCTTTATAATTTTGCAACATTTACTTTTGATTATTTTGTGGCTCTTTCCATTTACATTATAGTTACTATGTATATTGTTTTGTTGGCCCTACTTATTTCACCCTGCATCGGTTTATGTATGTCTTCCCATGTTTCTCTGTATTCATCACATTCATCATTTCTTACAGCATAGTAATATTCATGTGCCACTATTTGTTAAGCCATTTCCTGAATTGATGGACAGCTACTTTATTTCTACTTCTTTGCTACCCCCAAAAGTGCTACTATAAATATTTTATTGTATATGGGACTTTGTTTTTATCAATGACCTCATTGTATATACTTAGAAGTGAAATCTCTGGGTCAAAGGAAAAAGTCTAACCCCGTACATCCTCCTGGTCCTGCCTGTATGGTTCTGGCATGGACCCTCTGAGCCCAAGGGTTGCTAAAGATAGAAGCTACCCTGACTCCAGAAGGACATAACTGTCTAGAGGACATTTTAATCACTTTATTTGCATAATTCCAAATTGTTTTCTAAAATGGTCGTACTAAATCACAGCTCCATCAACAATGCACTAGTGTGTATATCAGGCCTACACAACATACAGCCTGCAGGCTGCTTTCAGCTTGCCAAAGTGGCAGGTGGACAGGATGTTGTGCAAGCCTGTTTTACATAATCTACATTTTTGGGGGGTGATTCTTTGGCAGCTACAAGCAGCAGGCCTGTTTATATCCTCTACATTTTTCTCGGGCTGCCTGAAATCCTTTGGCGGGCAGCACTCTGGTCATAAATGGCCTGGGATGTTGTGCAGGCCCAGTATATATCTTCCCATGACCTCTCCACCATGGACCATTCCCATCTTTTCCCAGCTTTGCCAGTTTTCTGTATTTCAAAAACTGAAGATTGTTTTGATTTGCATTTTTCTTATTGTTAGTGTTTTGGAGCATTCTTTCATATGATTATTAATATGTTGCCATTCTTTTGAGAACTGTTCATATCTACTTAAATATATGGAAAGATATACATACGTACATATATACATATATATATATATATATATATATATATATATATACACACACGTGTATGTGTGTGTGTGTATATCTTGGATACCAAACCCTTATCTGAGAAATTTGATACAAAGATTTCCCTCCATTCCATTGTTTCCCTTCTTATTCTATAGGTATGGATTTTGTGCAGAATTTTTCAAAATTTATGTAATAAAATTCATCTATTTTATCTTTTGTAATTTCCTCTATCTCTTGTTTGGCTAAAGTGGGCCCAGTTTTAAGTAAAGTTCCTGTGATAGCACCAGGGTTCCCCCACTTCAGAATGTTAGGAATTGGTTTTCCCTAAAAGGCAACAAAACTGTTTCAGAAGTTCAGAGACCTGATGGGTCATTGGAGGGATGGCTCCTGAGGGTGTGATCTAATAGAACCAAGCTTAGTACCATTGGCTTAGGGGACTTTTGTGGAATTAGAGAAATGTATTACAGCATTCAGATGGGGACTGCCCTTTGTCCCTTTTTAAGTGACTGAAGTGGAGAGTTATTTGCACTGGTCCCATAAATATTAATCTTCAACACAGCCAGCTCCAGATGGGAATCTGCAAGGAAAAGGATGAAGTTCATAAAGGAAATGGGTTTGATAGATTGGATTTATTCATGTTGCTTTCTTGACCCCCATCCCCTTGGCCTGGCACACCCTGTGACTAGCCCTCCTCTGGGGAAATTAGATTCTGACTTCTGGGTGGAAGCTCAGCAGAACGTATTTAGACTTTAGCTATGGGTCTCTAATCATACAATGACACAGGTACAAGCTGATCAATTGGTGAAATTTGAGCAAGACATTAGGACAGCTATGATTCTACAAATACTGCTGTTAATGGGAATAGGAAGGAGTCACAGAGCCCAACAGCCTATTAGGTGGGCAGAGGGCAAGGACACTGTCTCTTGGAGGGATCTTTGGGTGTGGTTCCTAAAATATGGGGCCTGCCCATCCTGGTACTTGTAAGATTGTATGAGAAAATTCAGCACCGGGACACTAAGAGCCTTTCAGCCACTCCCAAGCCTAAAGTTTCCTACAAAGGTCCATTTGGATGATTCAGGGGAGGCTATAGAGGACAAACCATGGCAGGAAAGGGTTTCATAGGCTCTTGGGAATAAATATTTGTATAGGCTCTTTCATCAACCTCTGTATATGTTACTGTAGGTAGCATTGAAACTCTTAGAGTTACCTTAACTCTCCCATTTAGTTAACACCAACCAATATCAAATCCTCAGGAAGGATGAAAGATACTTCTTTAGTGATGGAGATGAAGAAAGCTGGAACACTTCATTATACAAATACCCCTTACAGCAGCCCTCTCTCCTGAGGAAGACTGATGGTACCTGGCAACTTATAGTGAACTGCACAAAGCTACATGAAGTCGTCATAATCATCACTACAGCTGATCCTGACCTCATCAATGTTGTAGGTCAGTAAACCTGGGCAGCCTAGGCCTAGAGTGAGTGAGGTGGGGTTATTGACCTTATTAATGTTAGTTTCTCTATTCCTGTGGCTGAGACTAGTCAGGAACAGTATGTTTTCACCTGGGAAGGCATCCCTTCATCATCCATCACCACACCTGCCTACCTGAAATCTCCCTCATGCTGCCACATCATGGTGAGCAAAGACCTGAAAGAGGCTTCCTTTCCTGAGGGCATTGGTTAACACCACTACAATGATGACATAATGTTAATTGGTCTGATAAGAACATCTTGACAAAGGCCCTAGATCAGTTGGTGGTTCATATAAAGGACAAGAGGTGGAAGTCAACTCTAGCCTACTCAGTCAAGTTTTGGGGAATTTGGTGGAAGAGAGTAAAGTGTAAAAAGATTGAGAAGGTAGGGAGGAACCAGGTTGTAAAGAACTTCAAGTGATAGAGGATTTTAGATTTGATCCTAGAGGTATTAGGGAACCACTAGAGCAGGGATGGGGAACCTGTGGCCCTCTAGGTCCTCAAGTATAGCCCTTTGACTGAATCCAAACTTCAATGTAGAGGACCTAGAGGGCCACATGTGACACCTTGAGGCTACAGGTTCCCCACCCCTGCACTAGAGTTTATTAAGTGGTAGGCATGTGTGTGTGTGATATGACCAGACCTATGCTTTAGGAAAATCACTTTGGTAGCTAGGTGGAGGACAGATTGAAGCATGGAGAGACTTGAGGCAGGGCGACCAATTAGAAGGTATTCAGGTGAACACCTGAACTTGGGTGGTAGCTGTGTGAATGGAGAAAAGAAGACATATATGAGAGATGTTGGTGTAGAAGCTACAAGATTTGACAACAGATTGGATTCATGAGGTAAGAGAGAGTAAGGAGTTGAGGATGACACTGAGGTCAGTAATCTGACTGATTGGAAGGATGGTGTATTCCCTACAGTAATAAGGGAGTTTGGAATAAGGTAGAATTTGAGGGATGATAATGAATATTGTTTTGTATGGATGGATTTTGAAATAATTATCCAGGATGAAATGCCCAAAAGGCAGTTAGGGATGTAGGACTGGAGCTCAGTAAAGAGACTAGGGTTGGATATATAGATCTGGGAATCATTTCATAGAGATGATAATTGAATTCATGAGAGCTAATGAGGTCACCAAGTATAGAGGGAAAAGAGAAGGAGGCCCAGGATAGCTCTTTGGTTGGTAGGTGTGACATGGATAAAAATCCAACAAAGGTCTTTGCTCACCATAATGTGGCAGCATGAGGGAAATTTCAGGTAGGCCTTTGTGGGCATGGATGATGAAGATATACTAGATGCCTTCCCAGATGAAAAAAGACTGTTCCTGACTAGCCTCAGCCACAGGAATAGAGAAACTAACATTAATGAGGTCAATAACCCCACCTCACTCACTCTAGGCCTAGGCTATAGATACATAGGAAGAAAACCGAGAGAAAGATATAACAAAAACTCAGAGAGGAGAGAACTACTAGGAACTAGTAAAGCTAATAGAAGAAAACAGTTAATGTCAAATGATAGAGAGGGGTCGAGAAGGATAAGGACTGAGTAAAGGCCAATAGATTTGACAATTAAGAAATAATTCACAACTTTAGAAGAGTAATTTCATTTGGGTGATGTGGAAACCAGATGGCAGAGGGTTTAGATAAGAGTGAGAGAAGTAAAACCACCCAGCACAGACTCCTTTCTTAAGGAGTTTTGTTGAGAAAGTGAAGGGAGATACAGAGTGTTAGCTAGCCTGGATGGTTGGATCACATAAACGTTGTTTTGGGGTTTTTTTAAGGATGGGTAAACATGATCATGTTTATAAACACCAAAGAAGCAAGTAGATAGGGGAGAAATAGATTAAAGATAGAGAGTATATGTTAGTGGGTACAATCTGCTTGAGAAGATGGAAAGGGATAGGATCAAGAGTCCATGTAGAAGAGCTGGCTTTGGCAAAGAAAAGGGCTGCCTCTTCACTAGAAACGAGAGTGAAGAAGAATGTGATGAAAGATGTCTGAGTGATGTGAAATGAGGAGAGATGAGGGAGTTTTTGGAAAATGGCCTCAAATGTTTTCTATAAAGTATGAATTGAAGTCTTTCAACTGAAATGGGTAGAATGGTGCCATAGAAAACTTGAGGAGTAGTAAGAAGGAATATCAAGGGAGTTGCGGAGGGTACAGTAACAAAATGATTAGGGAAGAGAAGGATTGCCCTGCAAAAGTGAGGGCCCAGTTGTGATTAGATAGCAGAAATTTACAGTGGTTTCAGCATTTCCTCTAGATCTGTTCAGCAGCAGATGAATAAAGGAAACAGTGGGAATAATACAGGGTTAGAATTTAGTTAAGGTGTAATTGATAGGATAAAGGGACAAGAGATCCAATAATAGAGAATGATGTATGTTTGAACTGGTTCACCAAGCTTGTGAGATAAAGAAGGGGAGAGCACATATCCAGTGCAAGGGTGATGGCTTGGGAAAGGAGTGGAGGATGAAGGGAAGAATGAAGAGCAGTTAGGAGTTGGAAGGCATAGGGGAAGATGGAATGAGAAATATCTCCAATTCCTTCAAGCTGTTCTCACTGTCGATTGCTCTGCTCCTTGTCCACCAGAACATGCTATAGAGATTCTTAGATTATTCAGATATTTAGAGCTAGAAGGGACATTAGCAATCATCTAGTCTAATGCCTTTATTTTATAGATAAGGAAACTAAACCCTGGAGAAGTGAGGTGACTAGTCCAAGATTATTACTCAGATAGCAAGTTGCAGAGCCAGCAATTGAACCCAAGTCCTTTGACTACAAAGTACAGCATTCATCTCTGGAGTCAGGAGGACCTGAGTTCAAATCCAGCCTCAGACCAAACACTTGACACTTACTAGCTGTGCGACCCTGGGCAAATCACTTAACCCTAACTGCCTGGAAAAACAAACAAACAAACAAAACCACAACAAAATACAGCATTTGTCTTGCATCACTTTGCTGTCTTTGCTTACCCAGGCTGTAATACTCTCCCCCTTCCTCTCCATTTCTTTAAACCCTATCCTCCTCCAAAGGACCAACTCAAGATTTCTCAGTGAAGCCTCATTGAAACCACCCTCAGTGATCCCATTTCTCTGTCGCTTACCATTTAAATAACAAAACAAGGTAGCAACACTTTTTTTTTGCACACAAAAGAGCACTACTTGTAGAGTCAGAGGACCTGAATTTAAATCCTTCCTCTGTTGTTTACTCCCCAGGTGATCTTGGGGAAATTTTTTTTCATGTGTCTAGGCCTTAGTTTCCTCATCTGTATAATGGGAAGATTGGATTGGAAGTCTTCTGAATCCGCTTCCAGCTCTAAATCCACGGTCTTGTGACTCTGCTTCTCCAAGTAGATTAATACTGTAGGATTTTAGAGTGAAAAAGAACCTTAGAGAGCAGAGGATCTTTGAGGCCAGAGACCTAACACCTCTTTGTTTCCCTGGGTCTAGCCTGTTATCTTCCACACAAAAGACCCTCAAAGTTAGTTGTCATTTAGGATAACACTATTTCTGCACCAAAATCTGAGTGTTTGCCATCTCAACATAACGCAGTTTACTGATGAGCAAGAATAATATGCACATACAGATCCCAACCATAGTAGACTTATGGTAACCACTGAGAGCTCTTTGCAGGAAAATGCCATAGAAAGTCAATATTTAAGTGAGCAGAATATTAATCACATGCAGTTATTGTTTTTTCCTTCCCATGACGAATGTGTCAGCATTATGTCTGACTGCTGGTCTTTCCTCCCTTGAATTATTAGTCTTGGTATTGGTGATGAATATTAAATAAAATGCTCTTGGCTCTGGGGAGAGAAATATTAATACCTGGGTAGAATACCAAGATGTGTCCAGTTCTACATGATCAAAGACAGTAGAAGTGAATAAAACTTTATTTCTCTCTCTGTGTCTCTCTCCCTTTGCTCCTACCCTATCTCTTCACTTTGTCAATATTGTATAGCAGAAAAAATTCTGATTTTGAGTCTAAGGACCTGAGTTCAAATTCTTACAACCTGTCTGACCAAATCACTTAACTTTTCTTCACCGCAGTTTCCTCAGCTGTAAAATGAGAGGATTGTTGGACTAGATGACCACAGAGGTCCCTTATATCTCTGAATTCAGAATCCTGTGATCTTATTTGTAGTTCAAGGAATTTCCTTTTTTTTTTTTACTGCTTTCTTAACATGGACAGACTAGAACAGGATTCCTGAAAAACAGGGCAGATTCTCTAGAATCTCCTCCAGAAGTTAGCAAGAGGAGAGCTGGGAACCAGGCCCTTGGAGAGATTACATAAGGGTCTGGGAAATAAGCCCTTGAGCTTTGGGACAGTACAGATGCTCCAATTCTTAGAGAGGAGTCATCATTGAAAGGGAGAAAGCAAAGATTATAGGGAAAATGATAGCTGAATTTGAGGAACATGGTAGGGGTCTGTCTTCGTTTTACCAAGTTGCCTTGTCTTTCCCATTAAGCTGTTTCTGTACAACCCTCACTATCTCCTGGCTCAGGAAAGACCCTCCCTTTCTCTCCTCCCTCTTTCTTCACTTATCTTTGTGATTCAGAGTCGAATTCAGGGTGCCACCCCACTTTGGATATCTCCTCCCTTCAAATTCTTTCTTTGCTGTTCCTAGTCTTGCTCAGACACACAGACTGAACCAGAGAAAGCAAGGTGAGACACCCAGAATAGAGCCAAAAGCTGAAGCCTTAGCTATAGCTGGGAAGAGGCTCGCCTTAGAGAGAAATTATCAGAGACTGATGAGAGATGGAGGGAAATAAACGCTTGGGATTTAAAAAAGAGACAAGATACTGGAAGTGTTGGGGTGGGTAGCAGAGCTCTAGGGGAAAAGTTACCTGAGCTTACCCTCTTTTTTTAAGCAGGGAGATGGCTCTTCTTCAGTCAAATCAGGATGTCATTTCCACAGCACTGCAGCAGTTTAGCAAACTGCTGAATCAGCAGGTGAGAAGGATCCTATTTCAAGGACCAGGGCATACAAGACATCTTGGCTTTTGGAAGGAAGGTGGGGGGTTTGATGGCAAAATCAGGGGATAGGAAATGCAGCTTCTGGGAGGCATGCAGTGACTGATGGAAAGACTGAGTGCCTGGAGGTCAGGATATTCGAGTAGTGACTTTATCTCTCTTGCCTTGCCAGGTCTTTACAGAACCTGTAATCTCTGAGGAAGACATGGTCACCATCGTGGACGACTGGATAAAGTTCTACCTTTCACACTTCTCTGACAAGATGTCAGGAGATCAGCAAGAACAGGAGAGAGCCCTAGAGAAGCTGCAAGAGGAGCTTCGAACTTCTTCCAACCCCTTCCTGGAGAAGTACAGAGCCTTCCTGAAAGCCCTTTGAGTTCCCATGTCTTCCTTCCCTGACCTAGGCTTTCACTTGCGGTATGCCCCCAAAGCTGAGCCCCCTCTACTAATCTTTTCCTCTCCCCTGAAAGCCTGCTGTACCTCAGTTTCCCCGACCCTAAAATTT